TTTAAACGCGCGTTTTAAAGAACCAAGAGTTCTATGTAGCCGTACACACTCAAACGCCAAGCGCGCGTTTATAGATTTTTGTTAAAACGCGCGTTTTGCGGGCACTTTACGGGCGCTTTGAGATATATGTGCTGCCTTATAGCGACGATGGAGGAGCACACACAATCAATTACTTTCTCGTCCATTTCCAAACTGAGCCAGTGCTAAACGCCGAACTAACGCTCGTCGAACGCCGAGCTAACGCGCGTTGAAAAACGCCTAGTGTGTACAGGGCCTAAGTGAAGGTGATATTCGGTTGAAGTTTGTTATTTTTTTAACAGCTGTGGTTACTTAACGTAATAGTGTGATTTAATTATAAGTTGTGAAATTTAACACATTATTGCTAATTTGAGATCAGGGCCGTGCGGTAGATTTTCTCAGTATGATGCAAGTCTTTAAAATGCCACTTATGCCACCCCCCTTACATGTTGCTTATCAGGCGGTACCCTTTACGGTACCGCCTGATGCGACCGCCTCTCTGCATCATAGCACAGCACAGCCCTGTTTGAGATTGTATTCTTAATGCTGAAGCTTATTTTACACATCGAGTGCATCTTTAACTGCGCGGGCAGTTCGAACTTTGGAGCAATACAAAGGACATCTCTCGTTTCATTCAAAGTATAGACCATAAATTAAAAAACAAAGATTTACCGATCGACCCCAGGATGAGGTGCCCATACAAAGTCCTGTTGGAATACGATAATACCACAAATCAAGAAAACGAGCAGCTAATAACAATATACACGGACGGATCAAAGGACAACCAGGGAGTAGGATCTGGACTTATAATCAAAAAAGGAAAAAAGACAATGTATCAGGCAGCTTTCAGGCTGGCAAATGAATGCACTATAACCCAAGCCGAGTTATGGGCGATCTATAAGGCCATCTCATACATAAAACAACAAAATTTGACAACGCCAAAAAAGATAACCATTTTCACAGACAGCAAGGTTGCCTTATATATTCTTAAAACAATGAAAAACAGCTCGGCACTCGCAGCGGATCTAATTGTTCTTGCCCATGACCTTGGACAGCAATTTGAAATCTTGTTCCAATGGATACCAAGTCACAGTGGTTATAGGGGCAATGAACTTGCCGATAAATTGGCGAAAAAAGCAAGGACGAACTCAAACATTACATACACTCGTTTCCCAGTTAATTATGTGTACCGCTATATAAGACAAGAAATCAGGATCCTATGGCAAGGGGAATGGGACAAGTCAAACTCCGGAAGACAGTGCTACAAATTTATTCCTTCAATCGAAAGACGACAAAAAAACAAAAGTTTCTACCCAAGCTACGAACTCACACAATGTCTCACTGGACACGGGGCGTTCAATGCCTACTTAGAACGCTTCACGAAGAACTACAACAAGTGCGACGTCGACATAAATTCTGAAGACACCATAGAACATCTGATCTACGATTGCACCAAATACAGAGACCAAAGACTAAAACTGATGGGGACTTTGCAACCTTCCCTGAGACCAGGGAAGGTTTCAATTGGCCTCCCGGTGAGCACAATTTCATCGTCAACAAAAATTTGATGAAAGCCATCATCAAATTTATTAAGGAGAGTAAGGCTCTCGATCCACCGAGTGGCTCTCCCAACGATGGAGTATAAACACTGTTAACGCTTTGTATATATGTACATACGCTCAAATCTAATTGTTTTCTGATTTTAATAAATGCGAGGCGGCGCTCATGGGTTCCCATGGAAGGGCTTTGGGCTATCTCTTATTTCACACTGTCCTATCTATCTTCATTTCTTCTTCCTCCTAATCATCAACTCTCCTAAACTCTTCTTTCATATTCTTACAGGGCAAAGTCCTAGCTAAAAGGATAGCCCTTCTTAACTGTAGAACAAGAACAAGAACAAGGAGCATCTTTACCACTGTATTTGTTTTATGACAAATAATGTTTGATGTTTATCAACTATAGTCATGTATGTCATTGCTGTCTGCATACAAAGCACAGGAATAATAATACAAGTAAAAATACAAAATGATGCAATACAGTAATAAAAATATTACTTACCACTTAAAAAGAAATTCGGAAAAAAGTTTCCTAACAGCAGCATAATGGCTGTATTTTCATTATTAGAAACTGTTGAAATTGCCAAACCTAAAATTGTATCTTAGTTAACATACTAAAATCTAGTAATCTTTAGCAAATATTTCAACTGTTTTACTTACCACAAGTCATCCCACAAGCTCCTTGTAAGATGGTGAGCAACCATAGAAGAAAAAATGATCCTCTCAACTTCACCGCAAACAAAACTAAAATCATAAAATGACAGAATCCCACTTGTACTACCATAACTATGAACTGTGTCATTGCGAGAGCAAGGATAATGTTAGTTTCCGTTGCACCTAAAATTGTAAGCACCAGAATGATGAAAATACAAAAATTGAGTAGTGCATAAATAAATATTTCAGAGAATGACCTGCAATCCAATCTCTTTCCATTAATCCGTCTCTCTTTTCACTAACTAGTGACAAAGCTGTCAATGCTTCTGCCATTATGAATATAACACTGTAATTAACCAATTTTCATTTAATTGCCTCTAAATAAGTGAAATAAATTATTTTAGATGTTAAAAAAAAAAAAAAACAGAAATTACATGAGAACAACACCAGGTAAGATACATTCTGTAAAGTTGGGATGAAGTGATCCATAAATAGGATTTAACTGAAAAATAAATAATTAATTTTATGCATAAAATTGCCATTTGTATTAAAAAATCTAGTAAGATTACTTGTAACGGGAGTTTCAAAAGCGAAGGATTAAGTTTAGCTTTTTCTATGGCGTCATGAGCAAACTTCTGGAAGGCATCAAGGAAAGCTTTGAATAAGGTATAAGTAACTGATGGATCTGTAAAAAAATTTTGTAAGTAAAATCAATTTGCTGAATTAATCAATGTTCTCCATTTAATGTATTGAGTAATAACTAAAACACAGGGTGGCCCAAAAATCAGTTAATCAAGCCCCTCCAGTGGCTACGTCAATAAAACCATTAAACACTACTGGATTCACATCTGACCAGTGGGCTGGCAGCGTAAAATTTTTTAAGTTTTTTTCATGTGTTAGATATATGAAGAAAACTCAAAACTCTACTTGACCAGCCTGTTGGTGAGACATGAACCTGCAACTAACCAGTATTCATTCAGTGGTGCTTTACACTCAGATACTGGTGCCATAAAATATAGTGCTAAGCAGCACACACCATAACACTTTTAGTACTTTCAGTAACACACACAATAAGTGCAGTAATTCGATATTGATAATTTTTTTCTGCAGTATCCTTATTTCTTTATCAAGTTAGAGACACCGCAATTAGAAAATGATTGAAAAACACGTTTAATGTGTCAGCCTACTGTACCCCTCTGGAGGACTTGAAACAAATCAGATATGAATTTTTGAAGTGGTCCATCCTGGATATGTTGGACCTAGTTGCTCCATTATGGGCTGTATTTATGATATTTTTATCTAGTCCATCTGAAAAATAAAAAATCCTAAAAAAGGGCCATTTTCCCGTAGAAAGGCCCCAGACCTCCCAGAAGGCATCCTTTTGGCAGATTTCACATGTGTTTTGTTGCCTTATTTCTATTAATCAAATCCATTTAATCAAGTATATGCTGCCTGAAACTGAAATCCCAACACCAAGGAGGAGTTGATACTAGGTGAACGAACTTACACAAAATATTTATCTACATGATTACATTGATATGAGTTCCAAGAGTATGTCACAAAATGTGCAGCACCACATGAAAGTTGAATTTTATCCATCTAAATACTGACTGTAGTCACCGTCGTGTCAATTGAATATTGGTGTCCACATGTATATGCATTTGATCGTAGAGGTATTAGATGTTATCTTGTGGGATGGCATTCCATGCCTGTTGCATCTGTAAGGTTGTAAATGAGTCTTGATCTGTCATCCAGTCATGTCCCAAACATGTTCTATTGGCAAAACATCTGATCTTGCTGACCAGGGTAACATATTAGCATCTTGAAAAGCATGTTGGATTGAAGCTGCAGTGTTGGAATGAAGATTATCCTGACTGATAAAAACGTTTGCTGTCATTGTGTTTAGGTTAACCATAAAGGGGCCCTATTATCAAATGAAATCCATCCCTAGGCATTGTGGTCTGGGAATGGATTGGTATGTCGACAATGGATGCTGCCTGCCAAGACATTTTCCAAGCGTTCTCCTGATCCATGTAAATCCATCATTGGTACCAAGGAAGAAACAGCTCTTGTCTGTAAATGCCATAGAATTCCATTCTGCCTTCCAATGGACTCTTACATGACATCACTGAAGATGCATCAAACGGTGGACTGGATTGATCATCAAACATGCCACAGACATGGGAAAGAGGCCATTTTTCCAGTAGATAATTTTAAACAGTTCTTGTGGTGACACTGGGTGCCACTACTGCTCGAATTTCTGCCACAGGTGCCCTCCAATTCTCCAGGAACATCCTGTGTACATGCCGATCTTCTCTCTCTTTCCAATGGTCCAAGAGGGCTTGAATCCTAGCCTTCTGGTAGTAGTGCCTTCTCTAGAACATTGCTGTCAACAATTGTACATGGTGGACACATCTCAATCCATTCTTTCCGCGATCTCACGAAATGAAAAATCCACCCTCTTGTGGCGTAGCACATAGTCTCGTTCAAACTGGATCAATTGCTGATCTACTGTTCGTTGTTGCCTTTGAGGCATCCTGTATGTTGTAGCTAATGTTACCACAGCTTTTCGTAGTGACAATAATGCATTAAACAGCTCCACACAACAATTGGAAACTTTAATTTGCATTTGCTATGGTTTTGTATATACATCTAGTGCAGCGATTCCCAACCTGTGGTACGCGTACCCCTAGGGGTACGCGATAGGTTGTTTAGGGGTACAGAAAAAAGTTAGTTATTATGGCAGAAAAAATAATATATTATGTATCACAAACTAATAGTATTAAAAAATTATTAGATAAAAAATGTTCCTTGCAACAATCACAACTTTATTATACATTTTTTCTTTTAGGTTATTTTTCTTTAATTTAAAGTTACAATATGTAAAATTAACAATACGGTTACTCACTAAATTTCTTAAATGAGGGGTACAATCTAGAGATATGACATGTCACG